CAAAGATGCAGTGGCATCCCCCTTGCTTAAAATGAGTTAGCAAAACTGCCTGTGTGGAGGGTTCTCGAACAGTTCATATCCATCCCCACATTGCTACCCACTCGGAAACTTTATCTAATTAAGTTTCTTTTCAGTTGTCCTCATTAACGAGTGGACACAGTACGGAACCAAGGCAACTACAGTCAGAGGCATAGCTGCACTCTTACAAAAAGAGAGAAAGTAGAACAAATACTCAGTATGAGTAGGGATCTTAACAAAATTATACAGCTGCAGCATGGCTAACGAAGCAGCTATACACAATACGCGGAAACTTATCTTACAGCTATTTTTACCTTTGCAGCTCATAATGAACATTTCAGAATTAATTCCGAGCCCTAAGCCAAAGAGCGCACCTAAATTCCTCACCAGTCCAGCAAACGGAGTCGTGTCGATGTTTATCCAGTCTGGGTTGGCACACCACTTCTTGGCCTTTGGAACAGACCATAGCAAGTCAATATCAAGAAGCTTGAGGACTAGATAAAAGCCAAGGGCAAAGAGGAAAAGAAACAAGTTTGTCTTGATGTACATTCTCAGGCTTGCTGTCTGAATAGCAGGGGTGTGCTCAAATGCTTCTGCCACAAGAATGCCTGTGGATGAGAAACTCAGTGTTACAGGGAACAATGTACTCGTATTTTGAAGAAGTGCTTTTTACGGTGCCCCTGTAGAATTTGACTTTTGAAGACAGAAGAATATATCTATGTATTTTTTATTTACTACTTCTGTAGTACATTATAAAACCTTTTCTCCCACTCAATACTGCTAATTTGGGAAAAAGGACATTCGATAGCAAGCACTAGATGTTTTCAATATGAGGTGTGCCTTAGGCCTGCATGCATCTCCCAGATGACAATCCCTCAAATATTAGATGTAAACCAGAACATTCCTTTTCCACAAGAGACTCTCACTCAAAGACACAGCACTGTTGAATTCAATACCAGTTCCCACCCAGGCTTTGAGTGTTGAGGAAAAAGACACAGAACACACTTATTTTCTTTCTTACTGATTTTATCCTGGTTGTGAAAAGGGAGATCTGGACTGCAAGCCAGTGCTGCACAGGCTGCTCTGCGTCCACGGAGGAGAACAGGAGCAGGCAGCCCCCACTCAATGCTCCTTGAGATCAGACAGATACTAGAGAGACTGTTCATAGTTTGAACTCCCAAAATACCCATTTGAAACATGTTCAAGTAATTCCGAAAAATCTACTTTAGCTTCTTAAATCACCCCTCGGAGCACTAATTTCCCTTTTTCTCTGTTTTGCCCTGTGCTTGTCCACACTGCACACATGGGAGTTGGCACCTGGACGCTATTTGAAAGGAGACAAATAGCTTCCCCCTGAGAGGAAAGGTCAGGGCTGTGCAGGAGCAACTGCTGTTCTGGTCCCTTCCACGCTGGCAGCACAGGTAAAGATGAGCTGCAGCCAGTACAAACCAGACAGCACTGGTCTGTGGCAGTGTGGGTGTGATGCAGTCAGTATCAACTGGCACATGGGAAAGGGCTCACTTTTAGTGAATTACAAAGACAGCAGTTACTACCCTGCAAGTTTTACCTTTAGACTGTCATCAAATCCTTGGTCTTCCAAGCTGAGCAGCACTACTAAAAAACTCTTGCCTTTTCTCATACTTGGTGTTTTTTTTCATATTTTGACATATATGTTAAGAAAAAAAGAAAAAATAGCAGCCTTACCAGCAAATACTCCAAGAATAACTTGATGAGGGAAATGTGTTGCTATGAATACTCTCGAGATGCACACAATGATCTGGATAATCCAAAAAATACTCCAGAGGAATGACCATGTCAATCTAAGAGGGAAAAGGGAGATACTTAAAAATTAAGACAAGGTATTTCACCTAGTAATTTACACCAGACCCCCTCGTGTCAGGCTCTTATTTTTACCAAGCAGAGGTTTACAAGTAGAGAAGTTCAGAACCAGATGATTAAAAACTGGAAGTCAGTTTTAAAACATTAGCAAGAGTGGTTGCTCTAGGGCTGCTGGAACAGACCCCATTAGTTTCAGGTCCAAGAAACTGCCACAGTTTTAGCGATGAAAATCATCAATGGGAAGTTAAATTAGTACTAGTCCCTTGAACATAGTTCTCATCATAAAGTCATACTTAAATGCAAAAGTTCATTTGGTTGGTAAGAAAATTCACATAATATGGGAACAACCTTGTCAGGCTTGGAAAGGACAGCATCAAAGCAATTATAAGACTTCCCCACAGAGCTGAGTAACATGTTCCACTGAACTTTGCCAACATTATGCACATTTGCAGTTAAATATGGTAAGAAGGACTACTATGAAAGCAGTAAATTTATGTACAATGCAAAAGATCCAACACATAAAGACAATTAACAGAATTCAGTATTTGCAACGCTGAAGATCTGACATGACCTTAAATCGGAGCTGATTCAGAAATACTGTATGCAATGACTGCAAGTCAATGAACACCAACCTATACAAATGGACAAATCCTCTTAATATTCTTTTTCTTTATCTGAAGTAGATCATAATAAAAGTTCGGGTTTTTTTTACAAACTGGACAAAACAGAGTTATTTGGTTAAAATAAGACCATTAAAAACATAGCGTGTATATAAAGAAATAACTGTATGAGTTAGAATAATGGACAGACACTGACCTGTGAAGGGTAACTGCTGATTTATCTTTCCATCTAACTGTGTAGCTAAGTGCTGCTGTGACCATTACATACCAGACGCAGGAAGATCCCATGGCATGTCCAGATGGACTTCCTAGAAAAAACAAAAAGGAAATAGTCATGCTTAAAATCCTATAGGTATGAAAATCACCGAAGTATGCTGGCACGATACAAGTGAAATGATTCCTAAAATTACTCTGCCACCTCTTTTTCTCTATTCACTAGGTATACATTCAAGAAATTGAAACAGGGAAGGAGAGAAAATTAGATCATTGAAAATTGTCTATACCAGACTTTTGTAGCTTGCCTTTCTGTGGAGAAAAAAGAGAAGTAAAAGGGACAGGGTTATTGCACTGGCAGAAGAAATCATTTTGGCTGAAGAATGTGTTATGACCCAGCACAATATGGTAGTTTGCAAAGCAAAAGGATTTGCAGTGAAGCAGCAGATCAGGAATGTCTAGGGAGGACAAGCACAATGATTTCTGGCTCCCTGCACTCATTTTCAGTATTCTGCTTGCTGTATTTTTAGGAGTCATGTTACCAACTCTTTCATTAACTTTGTAACAGATGTACACTTCGAAACCTCACACCAGAAAACATGTCACGGATAAGGAAACCATACTGTTGGGCATCCATGTTTGGAAAGCTTCTCTTTGTTGCAATCTAAGAAAACATCATCTAGGAAAAATGTTGCATAGTTCATCTGCTAATTACCAACTAGAAACAGTATAAACTCCACCTTAAGGTTTATGTTCTTAAAACCTCACAAATTCCAAAGAAATTACGGCTGCAGGGTTTTAGTTCAGTTCATTCCAGAAGTACAAACCAAATTCAGGTTCTAGATTACTTGCCATGTAATCATATAAACAGTTGCCTCAGCTTTCCCTTTTGTTGAGCCACAGAGTTTGAGCTTCAGGCTACCCTAGAAATATTTGGATGCATTTCCCTGGCAGATTTGGATATGCCCTTATCATGTCTGTGGCTGCTTCTCTAACCTTTTCATATAAATTGCTAATTTAAAAAGCGTGTGAAGTGCCATGTAAGCTCATGCAATGACTGTGTGCACCTAACAGCTGCACTCCTTTCAGTAGTGAGGAATTGGTGGGTGACAGATATTGCCAACAGTCAAGGGCGAGATTGGAGAGAATGGGGTCATTACAGGTGCAAATAAGGAATCAGACAGTGGTACCCACTGGACAGAAATAGGAATGACTTGTTACTTCAGGAAGAAAGTACAAGGAAGAAAGGCCTTCTAGTTCAATGAATCAAAATGAAACACACTGACCAGTCCTTAGCCAGGGCTTGGAATTACATGGTGCTGAATGGGCTCAGCTCTGAGGGCTTTTGAAAAGATCTGAAGGACCTTAATACTTTGGGCTATGTCCCAAATGAATTCATTTGACACAGCCTGCAGATCTAGGTATTAATAATACACTAGGTACTATTAAGCCCTGCTTCATACAATGGCATAAGCTTTTCATTCAAAATTACAGTGGGATGTAATGCAGGATACTGTTAACAAAATACAGCTCTGCAAACCACTTAAAAGCTCGCAGTGGCATTGACAAAGCACAATGCACATTAGTTTCCACAGACAGTACTATCTTGTGCAATGAATTAAACTAAATTCAGACAGTTAGCTCGAAGTAAGTTTACCTTATTTCACTTATTCAAGTTGCACAAGCTCATTTAACTTTAGCAGTATTATATTTAAGTTCCACGGAGAAGACAATGAGATATAAAAAAGCGAAAATACATCAAAAAGGTACATTTTTTAAAGACATTTCCCCCCCCATATATTTGTACAACCCCCCCCCCACACACACATTCAGCACCACTGTCTGGTTCTGGGAAGAGGGCGTTCCATTTTCCACCAATGTATGTCCATTTCCATACATTACGCGATCGATTGTTGATACTATTGTTCTTTACACTGAACCACCAACTAGTTTTTGTGGTTTGAATAATTCTTGCAACAGTGCACAACCCCTCAAACGCAACAGCCCCCTGTTCTGTTTTGGAACACTCTTAAACAATGTGGAATTTCTCTCCCCAAGCAGATGTCATTGGCACTGCAACTGTTCCAAAAAGGGACCTCACAAAGCAGGGGAATCACTCTTTCCTAAACCTGTGACACAAGTTTTGAGAAAACTCCTTTCCAATACACTGGTTCATTCTAGTAGGAGTTATTTTTAAAGCAAATCCCCTTCCCTTGCACTGTTTAAATGGTATGAAGTAAGCATTCTTGTCCTACAGCAATCAAATACCTATCACATCTTATTTCTTCCTTTTTGTTTTCCTGGGTTTTGGTGCTGTTTTAAACATGAGGTCTGAGATTTGTATATCATATAAGATCTTCATAGGTCACATCCTCTCTCTCTCAAAAGCCACTATCTCTGTTAAATGCCCCAATGTAATCTCCAACATTTCTTACCTGGTCCAGTTTCACACGTTATAGGAAACTGCTCAAGGCATGGGCTTGACTGATTGGGATAAATCATTGTTTCTTGCACCCACCAGTATGGGCGATGGCCAAATAAAATCCTGACAAAAAAATAACATAAAATGAAGCAGAAACACAATAAAAAGATTCTCATGTAAGAAGGCCTCAGCAATACATGATAAATAATCTTACAATGAATATGAAGAGCTATACTGCCAGAATTATTCTGTAACAGTTCTATAGGTTCCTCTTATCAAAATGTTATTTCACACATATCTTAAATATCTTCATTGTGAATTCCTGTTTTATAATTACAGGGGAAAGTCTACTAGTACATTATTCACAGAAAGTTTTCTAAACTTGAGGCATATATAGTAACCATCATTAAAAATACCAAATTTTAAAATAAATCCAACTTCTTACCATTTAAATATGAGGTTGAACCAATCACCAATGACTGCCACCCATATCATTTTAGTACCAACCACTTGGTTTAGCTGAAACCAAAGAGGAAAATAAATTGAAAATATATTCCGGGGATCGCCAACATGTGACATAAAATTAAGGAAATCCTGGTAAGCCCTGTAGTCCCTCTGTAAATGCTGAATGATAAGCACGCCATTGCTATGAAGGAGATCCATCTTAATGGCTTAAACTGTACTGAAATACAGTAAAGTTCCTTTAATCTTAGATTTCTAGTGATGGAGAATGAGAATCATGAAGGGGAGCTATTAAAAAGTGTGAGAAGGTGATTGACGTTGCCTTTATATTGTATCGGCGCGGTGTGCCCAGCCATTCCTGGAACACGTGGCTCCAAACCTCCGGGAAAGCACACGGCCCTCTTAGCACTGGAAAGCTTTTCTGTTTGCAAATTTTAATTGGAGGAAACTAAGTGAAGTACATGCTGAGCAGCAGCAAATTGTGGGGAGAGTTTTGTGGAAACACAAGGTGTGACATGCAATCCTTTCTATGAACAGTTGGAACATGTTTGCTCGAATTTTTTCACAGTTCATTTCTCTGCAGGATGGGCATTAGCAATGTGTATACTTCATTAAGTGTTGCCCATATAAAGGACAGAAAGAATACACACATAATTGGTCTTTGCAGAACTGTCATTAAATCTGTACATTTCACTTTGAAATAGAATTTGGCTACCATGCTGCATCTAATACTTTGCACAACACATTTTCAGTCATGGAAAATACAACCAGCATCCATACATCAACAATACCATTGAGCTTTAGATTCATTTTTAAAGCAGCAATATTCCCAAAGCGCTGAAAAACAATTGTTTCCCTCACGGGAGAGGCCATGTTAATCCAGGGCACGATGCAGAAGCAGCTTAGCCTCTGAGCCATCTCCCCCAGTATCCCCATTCTCACCTATTGCCTGCCTGACGCAAGCCCTACACCCCCCTGGCAGAGGAGCAGCCCCTGCCCGGCCCGGCAGGAACCAGCGCGGCCTCACAAACCGGAGCGAGGCCGGGAACACCTGATCGTGAGCATTTCCCTGAAGTACCCCCAAGTGAAGCACTTGGGTTCTCCAGGGCAAACAGCCAGGAGGAAACTGGGATTCTGCCAGAAAGCAGCATTTTAAGAGTATACAGCAAATAATGTATTAGCACATCAGATTTATCAATATTAGTACTAATAACTGTAGCAGAAAAGATTATGTTCATTTGGGAGATGGCTACATGAGAAACGTTTTTTCCACAAGAGATTCAATGAATACCAGAAGTCTGATGATAACATAATCTGATATCATCACAGCAGTTCTTTATGCTATATTCATATTTTATATTAGACATTATTTATGTATCTGAAACAATTCAAATCAGAAAGCAAAAGCAGCTGTATATATGCACTGCGCACCTCCCTCCTGCTTTCTGCGTGGCACTTAAAGCTAAACCATACAAGCTGTGGAGACAAAGAGATGAACTAATTAACTGTTTTTGCTGAAAAGAGACTTAACAGCTTAACAGGGCTTTATGATGTGTGGTCAGGGAAGTCATGTGGAAACATTAAGGAGATTCAACAAATAAGGCATGACAATTAAATGGACTCAGAAGACCTCTCTTCCTGACACAATCTCACATTTACTTTCGCTATTAATAGTCTGGGTTTCAGAAACTTTTTAGCAGATTTAAATCCTGTATGTTTATTCCTACCAGTTGCATTGAGCCATGTAGAAAACCTTAAAGTTAAAAAGGGATTTAAAATGCTATTCACTGTTCCCAAGTAACTACTACAATATTTTTCTGTATATTGACTGAATTATTCACTTCAACTGGTATCACCCGATTTCAAGGAAAACCCTTCCAAAACCAAAATCTCGGGATATTTCAACAATAAATATTTCCTAGCTTTTTAGCTGCAAATATTTGGGGATGTTTGTTTCTTGCTAAGCCGTAGAGCTTACAGTTTTTCAGGGTGTCCAAGGGGGAACTGTCATATAAATGAACCAATAGAACTAATTTTCCTTCTCCCAGTTCTTTACAAGGAACTTTCTTGTTTAGAAACACCTCTCCCAAATAACTTGTTTAAAACAACAGAGGAGAAATACTTCCTCAATAAGCTTTTTTCCTCTCCTTTTCTATGCAAAGCACTGCAAAATGCTTCTGTACTGTGCTTAGCATTTCAAAGTCACTTGAGATACTATACAAAATAAAACTATTTGCTGTATTTTAGTACATGGAATTGTGAGGAAAACTAGAGATCTGTACAAAATGGTCAGATGTGTATGCAGTTAAGTTTTTAAATCAAAGCTTTGTCCTGATCTGATATCACAGAATCAAGGTTTGGCCTTCACATGATCAAATGAGTTCTCAGTGCAAAGCAAAAACCTTTAAAATACTATCTGTTCACATGAAGAGTTTTTAATTTCTTGATATTTTCTTGATTTATTTTATTTTCCAAGACATACAAACCCAGAAACTATCCAAAACTTTATATATTCTCGGTAATAATGTAGAAACAAGAATCATGTTGATGATCCACTGAAGGGAGGATAAAATGTTTACAGCTACTTTACACCTACATATTAGAGCAAATATTACATAACAGATATCAGATGTTGTTAAGCAAATGTTTGCAAGGGAAGGAAAAGCCGTCAAAGCAAACATTTTCTAAAACACTGTTAATGGAGGTCTATGTACTCAGCCTAACTTTCTGGTACATTATGCTTAGTTAATTGAACAATAACATTAATTTCCACCTCAATGTTTTCATTGGCACTGGACCAGCTACAAGGATTAACTACCAATTTAGTAAGTTCACAAGTAGACACTGTGTACAGCAACTGACAGCTATTTTCTTAGGTATGAATATTTTCCAAATGGAACACTGAAAAGATACATATTAATTTTAGATTCAGAGAAGAATCTTTCAAGAAGCTCGCTCTTTCTCTCCATATTTCATTCTCAAGCATTCCTCATTGGACCCAGGTGGCCCTAATTAAGGTCAGGCTTCTTTCGGGCTGCACTGACCAGTAGACGTTTAGCAAGTGCTAACAAGAACCAGCTGTTTTCTCTTTGTTCTGCCACCTTATTAATCTAATCTTTCTTAGTTACTATACTGTCATTATTCCTTGCTATAAACTATATGAACTATACACACACAGGAAACTAACAAACCTTGTGCTTGCAATTTACCCATAACTGCCAGACCTTAACACTAGTTTGCATTTGTGTGTGTTTTTATGTGCAACCATGTAGATCACACAAACAACATATGGAATATAAGTATGTTCTTGAAAAAGTAACTTCTAAGGAATTCTAGTTATCATAAGAATGAAGAGCTTATGTTTTAGAAATTACAAGAAACCTAGAGCTTAACTTATTAGAAGGAATAAAAATCCTTCAAGTTCCATAAACTGCAAGCAGAAATGGAGGTGTCATGGGTGGAGTGATTAACTTCACTGGTAAGAGAGAAGTAGGGAAATATTTACTAAGATGAAACAGTGATTTAACAAGATCAGTAGTAAATGCAACAATGTTTTATGGGATTTGATGTCAAGGTACACTGTATTATCTACTGCATAGAGGGCAGGGTCAGACAAGCTGTCAGGGAGACCCTCCCCTTGAGTCACAAGGATCAGAAAGGACCCCCTTGCTTTCTAAACTCCTTCTCAGAGAGGAGTCTAGGTGCGGCTGGATCCAATCCTAGTCCCAGACTTGGTCAACGGTTTATGTATAAAGGATTATATATGTGCAATCAACCCTTTATATTACTTAGCTAAGATTTCAAAGTTTAGCATGCTATCAGTCACTTACCGAGAATCTGTTGCAGCAAGGAATCTCTCAACCTTGAGGAGTAGAACCTTAAGCAAGCGTCCTCACAAGAGGGGACATCCTGGCGTGCAGCCCACTGCCATACAGGAGAGCTCAAAGAGCTTTTGGGCTGTCCACTATTTATAGACTAACATAATTGACCTATAGTCATATTCTCATGGGAACAAAATATCTAGGTCCCCACTCCAGACAGTGTTTTGGCTGTGTTGCCAGTCATCCCTCAAAGTCCAGGTGCAACTTATTGCAACTAATGTGATGGCCATGGTGGCCATGACCTGAGCAGGAGCCAGGGCGGGGAGGGAAGAGGGGGAAAACAGGGAGAGCACACCACCACGGGAGTCTGGACCCACAAGGGCAAAAATGCATTCTCCATTGCATTTTTTTGTTCCCTTTCCAGCAAGATCACTGCTTTATTTCTTGCTGTTCTCTAGTCCCTGAAACTAGCCCCACGCCAACCATAGCCCAATGAAGTTAGAAACCTGCCAAGAGAAGCAGCTGTTTATTAGGACCAGCTCTTCAATTTGGTGTTCCCTTAGCAGTTTCCACCTAAGCTGCTGTAGCTCTCCAACCCTAAACTATAGCTCTCAACTAGCCCTTAACCCAGCACTAGAATAGCCCAATTTGAGCTTTGAGCTAGTGGAAAAATAAAGTATCAGACCTTTGTTGGCAATAAGCTGCCCTTAAGTTTGATTGCAGGTCAGCTGTCACCCTGCTGCTCTCATTGTACATCTCGGAACCTTAAGTTTAACCAAGTACCCTAGGGTTACAAAGATACCTATGAAGAGCTGGAAAATGCAGAAAAGGGGTACGTGCTACAATTACATTGTCTCCAGCAAAGCTCATAGTGCTAGAAACAGGGTAAATAGTTCGTGAAACTTTCTTCCATCCCTGACTATCCTGTGGCTTGATTTGACAGACATTTAGAAAAAAAAAATTTCAGACCAAGTTAAGGTTAGGGGCCAGCATTTCTGGCTATAAAGCCTCTTGAATCAGATCTAACAGAGGATTTAAGAAGCCTATGACCTGTGCTAGTTTGGGTCATGAGGCCGCATTTCTGTTTGTGGTTCGTAAGAAATGTCAGTTTGAACAGAGAACTAGTACCTGCTAAAATCACCATGTTTCATTTAAACATGCAGTTGGTAAGCTGATTGTGGAGAGAGTCTGTAGTGTGAAAGTGAGGTTAAGTTATACTGTAAGTTTATATCTCTACAAAAGACATTTGGGAGAAAGGACTCCCAAATCAGTCAGAAAAAAAGATCAGTTAAGGTACAGACTGTGCCAGTAAATGTCATAGGCTATATTTAGTCTTTAGCTGGTAAAGTGTAAAACAAAGAAATACAACTAATGAAATATAGAAAAATCTCACTGATGTAAAAAGATATTTAGCATTTTAGAGCTTGTGCCAGCTACTGTGGGGTAAGCCTATTATTTATGTTAATAAAAGGATCCAGAGGAGACCAGACTGAAGACCCCACCAAAAGATGACAGAATAGAAGTCAGGATTGGTTTAGATGTATTTACTAAACTCCAAAGGCTGGGAAAATTGTGTATTCACCAAGTTATGAGCTCACATAAAGGCTGGTGATGTCAGGGGCAACATTTAAACTTTATACTTGGCAGCATTCACTTGGCTAAGTTTAAGGGCTGATTGGGAAAAAGAGAGAAATGGTCCTAGTTAAAAAAACCCATAAGGTACAGGCTCCATAATGCCCAAATTTATATGTGGCTAGGCAACCATCCTTGAACCAGCCCAACCTTGGTACATTTAAGTCTGAAACAGGTAAGAAACAGTGGGCTAATAATAAGTTTTAGGACTAATGCTGAGGAAACTGAAACCTAGAGAACAGGTGTCAGAGTCAAACGAGACAGAAATGCAGCTGGGTACCAGTGCTACCCACCAGCAGCTGCAGTTCATACAAGAATAATGCAACTACCATTCGGTGGGCTCAGCTCAGACTTTGCTTTGGCTCTAGTGGCTGGGGGCAGGAGGGGAGGGGAAAGAGTAATTAGTGATTTCAGACAGCAATCCTCAAAGCCTTGCTAAGTTTACATTATTCTGAGATCATCTAAATAGCACTGAACTAATGCTAGGAGAACTTAATTAGCTATGGTAACAAAGGAGGCTGGTACCTGGGATCATAAACTAGCGGTTATCCAGAGCCAAAAGGGAATACACCCAACTTGAGAAAAATTAGGCACACGGTTGTAAGGAGGTCATTCACCACGACAGAGGCTTATGGCAAGCATTTCACTGGACACAAGCAGGGCTGCTCTACTGGGTTTTGTTCATACCAAAAAAGGCTGCAATTACTTCTGCATCTTTGCAATAGGTAATCATAAAAATTTAACTAAATCATCATAAAAATAGGTAAAAAGCTCTACACGAACTCAGGCTTAGGGAATTAAAAAGCAATTCAGGAATGTCACAAAACTTACGACTAGGTTACCCCCAACATGTTCCATGAATAAACCTGACATTGGAAACAAGTTCTAGCACCAGAGGAGTGTAACGGAGCTAGCCCGCCCCCCAGTTCCAGGCTGGTTTCATTCGGGACAGAACCACAAACAGCACAAACCGCACCAGGCTTTTCACCGCGGGCCCCGCTCCCCGGCGCTACGGACAGCCCAGCCGCCTCCCCCTCAGCGGACTCCAAAAAACACCCTAATCTCGCAGGCCTTTGCCCGGAGAGCAGAAGGACGCACAGCCACCTCTACCTCGCAGCACCGAGACCTCCCGCCTCCGCAAGCCCCGAGGGGCCGCCCGGCCCGGCCCGCCGCCGCAGCTCCGCCTTCGCCTCAGGGGGACCGTTACCGTGGCAACAGTGCCGGCAGCTCCCAGCACCCCCTGCGGCTCCAGGAAGGATGGCTGAGCCAATCAGCGCTGCGCTTGTTGCGAGGCGGGCGTTTAGCGGTGCCCAGTTAGAAAGCGGCCGTTGGGCGGCGGGAAGGCACCGGCGGTTTGAAAGCGGGTGGGTGCGCGCGGTCTTGTTCTGCTGCCGCCGCTCCCCCGGGCGGAGCTGCGGCCTGCGGGGGTCGGCAGGTATTACCCCGCTGGGGTGGTCACGGGAGCCTGCTCGCCGCCCTTAGCGCCTCGTCGGGCGGAGGAGGGGGAGCCCTGCCTATCCGCCCGGGGTCGGTGGGAAGGTGGCGAAGGGCTGGGGGCGTCTCGGTGGCAAGGGGGCACGGGCCGGCCCGGTCCTACTGGGGGCTACCGGCAGCCCAGAAAGGGCTGTCGGTTACGGCGGCTGTCCCGAGCGCGGGGCAGGGCCGCCTCCTGGCGCAGAGATCCCGCCGCAGGGGGAGCAGCAAAAGAAAGGTAGCTGCCGCTGCTACTGCTCGTTGTGGTACCGATACAATAACAAGCCAAGGGGTTAAAAACCGCCCTGAGGCTTTATCCTGTAACCGTGAGTTGTAACTGCTGCGATCGCCCTGTGTGCATCGACACTATTCGCTTACGTTTGTTGCAGCGCTATGGCTGATGGAAAGACAGAAGACGAAATCATCCTCTTTGAAAAGGAAATTAAAGAGTTCTGGACCACGTTAAAAAGCGTTTATGGCACTAAACAGATCAATCAGACTTTAGCACTGAGAGATTCATGCAAGGAGTCCATAAAAGAGCTTTCAGGTAAAAAAGCTCTATGTTCCTGTTACCTCTGCTTTTTCCAAGTTACCATCAAACTTCTTCAGATAACTGAAATAACTCTCCATTACAGAGAAATGGTCCAAGAAGCTGAAAGAAGGGGACCTGATGATTGATAAAATTCAGGAGTTTAGCAATGGTACAGTATGGTATTTTATTTATTGTGTTTAATGTTTCTAAAATTAACTTAATACAGCTGTTTAACTTCCCATTTTAAAAGGTAAACAACATCAGAATGAAGACAGAATTAGAAACTAAACGTATTTGGTTGATTACAGGATGTAAATTGCAAGCCAAAAGCAATTTGTTGGAAAACTTCATTGATAATGCAAAAAGATGAAGATTGGGTAAAAAATTTCTGCATAGTGGTTTTGATGCTTAAGTATTTAAAACAAAGTACCAGAACTTGCTGACTGCAATAGTAAAAGTAAATTAAATTGCTTAGTAAAGTTAATATTGCGAGGTTATTTATGTCTCCTCCATATTAGTAATACAATAGTCAGCCTATCAGTCTATGATCAACTAATCTGAATTTTGTAGTTAAACTACATAATAAAAATAATTGCAACTCTAATATCAGTCAATGTTTCCATTCCTTGCTTTCTGTCAAATTATTTACCTGTGGACAAGATTCACCATTTTCTTGCTTCAAGGATGTATATAGTTCTGGTACCGGAAACAATGTGCATCTGATAGAAGATACTAAATAGGGAGCTCCTCTGATAATTCCCTTTTTACCTTTTATTCAATGCTCTTCGTATGGTTATGCTGACTTCTCTCTTCAGTTGAGATGAATAAAATCTACTGAAATGTGTACTATAAAGGTAAGCCCTAAATAGTGGGGACCTAATTAATCAACTGTATATGTTCATATTTTCTTGGCTCATTTTAGAGATTCTCCAGCAGAGCCAACGCATATCAGAAAATCAAGAGCACTTGACAGAAATAAAATCTAACCTAAAACAAGAAGAGGAGCAAAAGAAGGATTTGACTGACTGCATCCAAGAGCTTAAGGAAGAGTTGATGAAGAAAAAGGAAAGTAAGTAAGCAAAGGATAATAAGATTTTGTTAATTAAAGGAATTGTTCTCAACACTTGCTCTTGATGGGCTTTTATACTGTTCTATTTCTTTTTACTGTACTTGTTTTACCTATACTTTGGTATTTATGATGGCTTTTAAAATTCTAGTAATATCTTCTAAAAACAAAGCCACCAAGGAGAGAGTGGAGCGACTATGCAAGTCTAAAGTACTGTTTGAAGAGCGGCTTGGACTGGAGATTCGCAGAATTCACAGTAAGTTTCTCTAGTTCTCATAGTTTCCATGTGCAGTGCTACAATGCGTTTAATGTTGGATTGTGCAATGAAGAACATACTCTTTTACACAACTGAAGAATTGCTCCAGCACAGATATTACCATTGTCTCCCCAGTGACAGAATATGGTATGTTAAAGTGCATTTGTCTTTCAAAGAGACCAGGTTTGCTTAACTTGTAAGAATTCTAAAAATATGAAGTGAAACTAGCTTAGTATTGTTGTACTCATTGTGACTCTCCAGCAGTGGTTTATGGTGTTAATTCTGTTTTTGTTTGCTTCAGATGAACAATTACAGTTTATATTCAGACACATTGACCACAAAGATCCTGACAAGCCCTATGTGTTTACCCTTTCCATAAACGAACAGGGAGATTATGAAGGTATGTGAATTCTGAATACTTAAGCAAGAGGATAGAATCCAATGCCTCTATTTGAAAAAAGGGGGAGAAGAGTGAAGTACAACTTAGTTGTAACCTTTATCTTCTGGTTTCTGAATGAAAATCTTGCAATGGTAATATATTTTTTAATGAAGTTTTTCTTCATAATTTATATGAAAATACAACTGCTTATCTTTGCTCCCTTCTATTTGTGGAGTTGCTGTTTGCTTTGCGCTGAGCAAAGCAGGAGCGAGAAGACATACACAAGCACAGATAAACACTTCAATTTGTAGTTTGTTATTTTCTTCCCTTTATGGTAGAGTGAGTGTTTATGCTGATAGGCTTCTCAAACAAGCTGAAATATGCCTAGAGGGGAGAATAAATGAGGTTCTCCACTATCTGGGGATCCCTTACAGTTGTGTGACACAGCAGAAAGATTAAAACTTGAAATCCAGCATTCCTCTTTGCAAGGGTACAACCTTGCAGATCTTAAAGCTGTTTTTGCAATACAGATCTTACTTCAGTTACAAAGAACAGCAGTGGTAATTTGTGTACTGTGCTGAGTGGCTTCTAGATGAATGCTGCTCTTACTCTGCTGTGCCTCTAGGTACGGACTGAATCGATTTCTGGTTTTACTAATTCAAATCTAAATTGTGCTGAAGTTAAAAGTTTATCACATGCTGAGCTACATCAGTTTTGGTCTGCCTGCCCACAGAGCAACAAAAATGTTTAGGAATGTGCTTCAATTTTTGAGCAGACTATGGATTACTGCAATCACTGTAATTGTGGGAGCACAGCACTGAGTGGGAGGTCTGGAAATAAAAAAAAATAGAATTGTGTGCTCTTTGAGGTTTTGCTGGAAGAAAATGATTTAATAGGTTACTCAAAAATAATACTGGATGAAGGTAAAACATAAAAAGATAGCAAACTAGATTTATATTTCATAAGCATGGAAAACCACTAATATTTTTTTATAATAGTCTAAAATCTTTGTGTCGTTTTAGTGACTTCCTGTACTCCTCCTCTGGACTGTATAGCAGAGTTCCAGCTCAAAGTGAGAGAAACTAACAATTTTTCTGCGTTCATTGCCAACATCAGAAAAGCTTTCACCGCTTTATCTTATAAACAGTCTGCATAAAACTAGCTTATACCTCCCCCTCTAGCGGTAGAACACTTCTTGTCTTTCCTTCCTCTATTCTGAAAGTATGTATTTATTTATGTCTTACTCTAATTTCTTAATAAAGAAAAATAATGAAAATAGTATTTTAGACCACTGTCATTAGAGACATTTTGGATGATTCCTTGAACAACAGTATAATTAACTGCTTCCTTAACTGAAAGCCTCCAGACTTGTCAATTTTGATCCAGTATCACGTACCTTAATGATGTAATGAGATCTATTTAGCTACTCCAAGAAGATATTCAAAACAAAGTACTTTCTGTAATTTATTTCTCTTCTGAAAACATAGAAGCATCTTTCAAGTTTGTATGTGGTTGGAACAGGCCTGAAAGATACCAAAATAATGCAGTGGAGCTTAGCAATTACTTCAATTACCTGCGTCTTAGGTTTTACTCTGTCTTGTACTCTCTACTTTTATCACTCCTTCTCATACATGTAAATTGGTGTTTGTCTTTTGGCCTATTAAAGTATATATTTTACTGCCTATTTGAGATTCTTGTTGGATGCCTATTTCTGTTTTTAGTAATAAAAATAGTTTGATGTGTATGCTGTTCTTGAATAAAGCTCTTAATTAGGAGCAAGTGGGAACTTTGTATTGATTTGATCTGAAATCCTAGAGAGCTGAAAGAGCCCACCCAGCTGGGCAGAGAAGCTGGCCTGAAGCTTGACCTGCAGTGGTGGATGGGTAACACTCATAAGATCACCAGCCTAGAGTTTTATTGGGTATGTTTTAGAACAGACTACTCATTTTGCTTTATTACATAAACAGTCCTTCACTACAACATGCTTTATGATTGTCATTGGAAATCCTCCTTTTCAACCATGCTAATAGAAGTATTTAAATAGCAGGTATTTCTTTCAATTAAGTGCTTCTACCACCAACAAACTGCTGTAGGCACTTTTATGTAGGTCAATAGACTAGCCAGTAGTTAAAAAAAACGTGCATTCAGCCAGCTTTGCACTTCCCACTTCTATCTACTTCTAGCTACAACTGTTGTCTTACCCTATGTTGTTGGTATCTCCTTCCCCCTTTTCTTCCTTGTACAGAAGCCCTCACGTTCCATGTTAGAAAGCCCATCCCTTCCAGCTTCTCAGTAATGGCACTGCCCCTCTATCCAGAATGACCGCATTCATTTTACAGTATATCCCTGCCTGTCTCCACGGGCCTGTGCCAAGCAACTCTGAGCTGCTCTGGAATGTAAGAACTTCAGGACGATCAACCAAGTATTTTAAAGCTGTTGTATGGAAGCCAAGAGGCAGGCAGTACACAGCCACCTCATTTGCATGTTTTCAAATGGAGCTGTTTATTCATTAAGGGTGTCCATATTGCTCAGATGCACTCTGTAGCGTATCTGATTTGACCATGACCTTCACAGGAGAAAAAAACTGAAACACACCCCAAGTAACAAAGACAAATGCTCATACTTACTGCCATTTTGTTTTCATGTTCATCCAAGGCATGAGTAGTTGCTTTATTGCTTCTACAGAATTACTTTGCCAAGATTGCTATGCACAGAACATAAAATATATGACAACCACTGCACTGGAATTTACATTCCTAGGAATTATTTGCTAGAAAAGATGATGTGCTTGGTTGTAAATGTTCTGCGCATACCCCTAAAGCAAGAAGTAAAGTTTGAAATGTTTATTGTGTGTAATTTAAGCCTCTACAGCTCCTTTTGGAGTCTGAATAATTAATCTTATATCTGCCAAGGCAAATCAGATGCAGATCCTACTCCCTCTAAACAGAGCCAGGCGTTCCGAAACAGGTAAAAGCTAGGAAAGTGTACACAATACATTTGTTTCTTTGCTTATAATAAAATAGGAAGTAAAACTGGCTTGTGACATCCCTAAAACAGCCTTTATGCTAGCTGAAGATGTATCTTAAAACCTTTGTTCCTTTATCAGATGCACTTAGTGCTTACAGAATTTCACACACCTGGATCTGTGGCAATTTGGTATTTCCTATTTGTTACAAAGCTGCACAATGCAGCAATATCCAATAATAATAAGGACAACTAGGATAATACTATATACTGACCCAGCATATACAATTATTGGGACCCAGTGTGCTGGACAGTATACAAATATGGACTGAAATGCCCCAAAAAGATAAGAAAGCTTGATCTCAAAAGCAATATGCAGCTTAGGGACTATGATCCACCATCGACCAGCCCCCTCCAGTTGGTGTTAGTGCTCCATCTATTAGCAGGATCAGGTCTGTTTTAAGGCAGACATAAATCTCAGTGAAGGTCAGTAAAGACTTCTCTTTTTTCGTAAATCAGTTTGCCCAACCAGGAACATTACCTTCCCTTTCAAACTGCTGCCCTGTACATAGGTACTAGGGCTCAAGCCTCAAATGTGTGGGCCATCAACTAGTGCTGACCATACAGAAAACTGCTGATGTACTGATGCTCAGCACCCAAATTTATCTCCTAATATAGCGTGAACATCTGGAAAAAAGGTGTTGAATTTATTATATATTGGAAATACACTGTGAATTTAAGGACTGTTGGGAAGACAATATTAAATATTAATAACTTATGTACCAAGTGCATTTAATCACAGTTGTTTGTATGATACCTGGAAATGAGTTTTGAAAAGAAATGGAATTACTGTTAAAAGTCCTTCTGGCTAACAGAACAGTTTTATCACACACCTACTCAACCAAAAGTGGAGGTGGTTAAGCTGAGTTTGTTGACATTTTTCATAAACCCTCTTGGATGTCACTAGACTTATTTTAAAAAGCAAACAGACAAGTAATGGCTACACTTGTGACAATTATGACAGACATAGAAATTATACTCTGCTTCTGTCATATTCCAATTGTGTTATATTACTTACTGTCTTCTCTAATGCCTCAATTAACTTAGGGAATTTATGCAGTACCTTGATATTGTCTAAATTAGTCTTGTCATTATAATGCTCTAAAATCACTGTGAACTCATTTGTGAGCGATTTATAACTTTTGAAAGCCCTGCTGAACCTGATATAACAAATATATGCACACATAAATCACTTAGTCCCACAGGCAGATTACAGTACATTTTTTAACTGTATGAATAAACCACACTAAATAATTATGGTAATACTCTTACCTTTTTGAAAGCAATAGTTGCAATCCAATTATGTCAGGCTTTACTGTTGAATAGGATTGTATGCCTGAAAGGTTGGGGGGAATGTCTCTGATTGCCAGACAGTGAGGCTCCATTTTTTTTCTCCTTCTTATTACCCCTAATCACTTTAACAATTACACACGAAGAACTCTTCAGAGTCTCGAGCTTATAAACAAGTTGTTCCAGCAGAAGCAGAGTTAATGAAGCCTGATTTCCTACAAATCTGTAGTATTGTCCTTAAACGGTGCCATTCTCTTCACTGCAATATCCCAGCTCTTCTTCACAGTCTCCCTGGTGGCTGAGAGCCAGTGCCTCTCCTGAGTTATGCTACTTCAGCCTCTGCTTGGCTGCTGCTACAGCCGCAGGACAAGGGTTGCACTCTGCCTACCCTTCCTCCAGCGTGGAGCATTGATTTGTGGTTCTCTCCTTTACCTGCTTGCTTATATTTGGTACACTGTTAAGAACAGTGATAGCTGCAACACAATCTCCTTTCAAAATTCGGACTAATTGAGCAACGGGTTCAAAAGTTATTAGGGAGAATGACAGACTGCTAAAAGTAGTGTTTAATCATGCAAGCGTGTAATGGTTTTTTATATGACCTTATATATATTTTAAAGTGGCTATGCACTGTAATGATTAATTGAAAGAAGGTACGATCAGTTTTAGTTTGATTTCCTTCCTCTTCAGTCACAGCATGTTGAGTCAATTGCAATTCGCGTTGTTCATCGGTTTTGTGACTATTTGATGGATAACTCTCTACATGGAAACATGCTCTTTGGACGACTTGCCTCAGTGAATTCCTTTGCACTGGCTACTGGATCATGGGCTCGGTTCTTTACTATCCAGTCTCTTCTGCACCAGAGCTTTAGCTGGAATAACTGGCTTGGCAAAGAAACAGGTCTGTTGAATGAACACCAACTATACATAGTTATTGTTTTAATTTAGCAGCATGCTACATTTACTTTACATTGATGGCAATTATCATTAAAGATTCCAGGCATTTAAGAGCAAACTGTATATATTAAGGTATTGGCTAAGTAAGGAATAGGTAGAAGTGACAGAAGGGTGGCCTCATGGGTGGTGTACTTGCTGTCTAAGTTAAAGCACAATACGTTCAAGTAAATGCTTACCTGGTAGTTTAAAAATAAAATCAGGCAAATTACTAATAGTTGACTTTCCAAAGGAAGCTAATGAGATAAACTTGTCTGTTTAATTCCATGTCTGACACAGCCCCATTAATGGAAAGACAATGCAGCAAATTGGTAATTGCATTATTTTAACATTAGTCATCAGTATGACTTACTGGCCTGTATTTTCCTTTGAGACATCTGATAAAATTGTGTTTCTAAAGAAAAGAGGGAAAACCTCTTCTGACATGCAATCCTCAATGCTGTCATCTGCAACTCTACAGCAATTAGCTGTCGTTTTAGCCTCCAGCATTCTCTAAGGTCAGCCCATAATTTCAACAGTCTGCTTGAGATGGCATTACAGTGGGGACCACCTTTACCAAGTGCTCTCCTAATGGCATCACAGTGAATCAAATTAGCAAATTTACAGTCAATGTTCATGCAATTTACATGAGAAGGAGAGTTTTACTTTCCTCAGCTGCTCCTGCTGAAGTTTCCCTCGATTATTATTTCTTGACTATATTGTTTGGTGCAGAACAAGCATTAAAAATTTGCATCCAATCTTGCTTTGGATTGTGCATTAATCCTATCCAAATGGCAGCTGATGTCACTGTTAGCAATCCATTTTTCCTCTTCCAAATAATATAGTGATAATTTTATAGTAGAAAAATTTGAAAAAAATTATTCAATTAGCAGAAAATTGTTATGAAAGGGGAGCAGCTATTTAAAGAACCTCATGTGAAGTTCACAGCAGTCCTGGCTGCTTTTTACATCCACTTGGGTCATCGGTTCCTCAGTGTTACTGAAGTACCACATGTTGGATGGAAGATGTTGGACTTACATTTTAAGTAATCTAGATTACTAATGTGGAAATCTTTTTCTGAAGCTGGCATATGGATGGGGTTGTCCGATATAATAACAGCTACGGGCATTGAACTCACTTGGAGATTGTTCAGTGAGAAACCACATATAAAAATGAGATAAAGTAACAACTAAATGCTTTGGCTGAATCAAGTTTAAATTCAGATTAGATGAGGGACTATGCAAATATAACTGTAAAACAAGAAGCCATTCTTGTAGGTAGGGGGCAGCTCTTTCAAAGATAATTTAGGAGAGCAACAGTAATTAAATTACTATTACTGGGAATTAAAAGGGGAGGCTATCCTTAAAATGAGCACAGAAACAGGACAGAAAGTTGCTAGTTAGGTTGATACAGGAGCAAGCCGATGCAATTTTAACTAAGGAAGG